GATGTCAACTAATCAGCTGTCAAATGGCTTTTCAAAGGTCAATTGCCGCAAAAGTAGCCAAAAGGATTGTTAAACTCTTTGAATAGATCATTCCAGAACTTGATATCTACGATGATTATTGTTTCAGAAACCGGGCGTCAGTCTTTATTACAAAGAATACTATTCACTAGCAGGAAAAATATAAGCCGTAAGACACCTGTCAATTTTGTTTCATACTGAAACTGAAACCATTCCTACAAACCTTCTTCCAAACTTCACTACAATACTGATTGCAAAAATTCTACACGTTATTTTTTACTAGCTGCTGCCCGCGACTATGTCTGCGTGGAATAGGCTGATGGCGTAACATTCAGACAGACTGATTAGTTATTCTGATGTATAAGCTATATAATTGTAAAGTTTCATTAAAATCCATTCAGTAGTATTTGCGTGAAAGAGTAACAAACATCCATCCCTAAATACAAACTTTCGCCGTTATAATATTAGTAAGGATTACCTTGAAATCACGAATAAAGGTTTTAATGATAAATTCAAACTATAAAGAAAAAACGTATTATACCGCGATAATAAAATTGATAAATAATCACCATCGTTTTTCTATAGATTTTCTTAAAAACTAGTAGGTACCATAATTTATTTTAATTTTTGACTATTTTTTTTTCGTAATTATTGCTTTATTTGTACCTTAGACAAAAGAGAGTGAACTTTAAGGGTTCCTTTTTTACCCTTAAAGTTACTGAACCCTAAAAAGTAAAAAAATGAGAACATGATGAAATGCCTTTCAGCAATACGTAACAATATTTATACAAAATAATGTTCGATATTGTTGAATAGCCCACGGTAAAATGGACGCCTTTTGTGGCATTATCTTACGCCTTTCTCTTGATGTTTCGTTATCAAGCTAGCTTGACACGTGACTGACACTGTGTTCTTTTTATCAAAGATTATGGATAACGCTGCGTTGGGAAGTAATATATTAAAATTAATGTGCAAATTATTAGATTCGAAATTGTTATTTATTATTATTTAACAGACTTGAACTCTATTGGTGTCTCCGTTATCAAGTTAGCTTGACATGACAAGTGACTGATGTTGTGATCCTTTGAGGCCTGAGCCCTCTATTGCCAATATATTCGTTGTTTGTAAGTTTTCTATTCATATTTTAAATTGCTTATAATGTGACGGTAGGGAGAATTGAAGAGGCAAACTCGTTTATCTTATTAAAATTGTTGGGTGCTGAGGATTTCAGAAACGGATTTATAGATGTATTTGGGCTTCCAGAATTGTAGGTGTTTATGTATATACGTTTCTTAAAGGAATATAGAAAAGACACACATTAACAATGAATGATGAAGGCAAGAATAAAAATCATTATTTAATCATGACACTAATGAAGTATATAATCGTATTTACATAATTAAAAATATTTTTAACACAAAGCACTTCCTTGTTTAAAATAGTATGTTTTAAATACGTGCGCTGAATGACTGTACAGCAAGACTGGCTTCTATAAAGGGGTTTACCAGCATGAGTTTGCTTCTGAAAGATAGAAAGTATGTTCTCTATGGCCCAGAAAATATAACGTTGCAGTCACTCTATAAATGAATATTATACCATTCTGTTCCTTAATTTTTTACCTGATTTAATTATGATGACGGGTTGTAATCGCGGGTCGCATTAAAACTTGTCGCTGGCCGGACTTGGCTCGTGGGCCGCCATTTCCCCATTCCCGCCATAAGCATAAATTTTAAATATGACAGATACTTTTATTTTCATAGATAATTTAAAGAATTGAAATAAAGTTTATAAAATTGGTTAAAATTTCGATTTTTTATTATTTGAATAAATATATTTTCAGTGTGAATAAATGGATATTTTTGCTGAATTAATTAAAATGAATGCTGAATTAATTAATTAAAATGAAAACTGTGTTGGTTTTTCCACCACATCACATTAGTCTACAAAAATATATATTACTCGATCCAATGCAGTCTCGTCCTATCTTTTTCGACTAGTGACAAATTGAACCCTGGATTTATTACCAATTTTGCAGCTTTTTCTACAGTTCTTCTTTTCTTATGAAAATCTTAAGCAAACGACTGCGCTACTCGAAATTACGGAGTCTTACTTAGGAGAAAAAATCTAACAAAAGACTGGGTTTAACAATAACAAATAAATTGTTAAGATTTACAATTTTAACGGTTAAAGCTTATGGGTCTCTCGAATATGATAGTATTATATATTGATACCAAGCATAGCAAGTCTGAACCATGGATCCATTTTAGTTATTGGTAAATTGATTTCATTCTCTTTGCTTACGATTTAAAAACAATAATGATTAAAATGTAATATTATAATGATATTAAAAACAGCAATGATTTATATGCTTCTGTAAACGATGGCGGGGTTCCTAAGATAAAAATATCTATAAATATTAAAAATAATATTATAAATAAAAATATATAAAATATAAAGCGAAGCAAGGATACTCCGGTTAATATTTATTTACGTAAAACAAATCTAGTATGTAAGTGCACAATAGAATCAGAAACAAAAGAACCTACGATATTACAGTAAATTTCAATGTAATTTTAGTGCCAGATTAAATTTTTAAGATTTAAAAACTTTTAATAAAGATAAAAATTATCCATTGTTATAATTTTCAAATAATAATGATTTTCATAAATTTTACTTAAAACATATTATAAAACAACTTAGGACAGCGTTGAACTCAATATACATTCTTTATATGTATATAAATAGGACACTTTCATGTAATTGACACTTTAAAACGGAAACAGACGTAATGACCTCAATGAATACGAAGTCTAGTCCGCGCGTATAACAATACGGTTTATTGTAATTTACACACCTCTTATAGGTTTGTGTGGCGCGATTTGTAAGTTACATAAATAATAATGGACAATGCCGTCTTAGGCAATTTCGGGGCTCTAGGGCATACAAAGGGGATCTGATGGAAAAAAAAGTGAATGACAAAAACATTTTTCTGCTATTATCATACGATTTTATTTATTCTATAAACGTCGGTCGGAATATATCTACCAAAATAGAGAAAAAATTCTCTAGTTTAAGCGAATACCTAAGCCATGCGGGGCCCCCGTGACGACACTCCTGGGCACTGGGCCCGTGTGCCCTTATGGTAATGACGGTACTGATAATGGAATAGATGAAGACATTAAAATAGACAGTATAAAAAAGTAATGTATGCGGAGTTGAGGTAAATAAATTTTATTAAATAAATGTAAATTCAAATGTAATACGTTAGCTCTACATTTTTTAACTTTTTTTACCTAGTTTTTGTAAAAGGATAGAAACACATTTATTTAGGTAGGAAGGAGGAAACTGAAGACATATTGTGTATTGTAGGCTTAATACAAATATATTATAAACTATATAAGCTTAACACATTGGAAGCGGAAAGATATATTCTTCGACTCATTTTAATGTTTTCAGCGTTTTCCTTAACCATTACAACCATTACAACTGCAAAAAAAATTTCACTAACAGTTAGTGGAGTAGTTGAGGAAACAACATATTATCGTAATGCTTACGAAGCTATTGCAGGTTGATAAATACGTCCAATATATATGTCACAATTATTGCAGGTTAAGTTAAGTTAAGCAAAAACTTTGAGCTAGCGTCACATATTTTCATTAGTCAAAAATATACAGAGACAGCGGTCGGAGATAATAAAGTACGTTTTGGCAAAAAAGAAAAATTAAATATTTCATCGTGTACTGTGCTACTGTACTTGTGTTGACCGATTGAGTCGAAATAATGCAAGAGAATATGGACCCGCGGAAAACGAAAGCTTTCACGACTGACTGATTATGAATGGTTTGCAAAATTCATAAAAAACGTGACGATGTCTTAGAAAATGTTCTTATATATAGTCAATAGTAATACTTCTCATACTTATATTCACATAATTGTATATATAATAAAAGTGGTGACTGATTAAATACTTTTTGTTATTTTTCCGCTTTTATATCAGCTTCGTAAGTATACGATACGATTACGATATTTATATTGGGGCTACTTAGATTCGAAACGATTTTATTTTGCAATTAGCATCACTAGATCAGTCCCTATTCAGTACCTATTCAATTGGTTGAAGTACAAAGTTATCATCGGAATCCAATTATTTCAGTCTAATTTTATTGATAGCTTTTTCCAAAATAGGTATTCGTAGGCAGTTTGGTTTGAAACATATAATGAACCTCGTTAGCGGGTTAAAAGAAAGGAACATCTAAGCAATGGCAAAATAAATATAATAAACGTATTTAAGCTCTGTGGATGTTGAGTATTTAAGTTGCCCGCTTTTACGAAGAGAAAGATTACACTAGACGCGTGAATATTCTGCAGTGCTTATACTGATGCGGTAGCGATCAGCTATTAGCCCGAAAGTAACTAACTAGGTCAGTGCTTGAAAAATCAACGGTAAAAGATACTTACGTTTCACTAATAAGTCCTTCGTGTTTTTGTCATTAACCGTAATTCTTAGGACTGCTTATTGCTTCAATTTGAATGATTGCGAAATCAAACGTTCGATGGAAAGCAATAAATAAATTTTAACTTACGATTTAATATGCATAAATACTTAGCTACATATTATTTTTTGACGTAAACACAGACCAAAGGATAGCGTTTCAAAAATGATAAAATAACATTGATAAGAGATTTAGAGCGGCCTAAATTTAAAATAAACAAAAACATGAATTTTAGTAAAATGACCTAATGAGATTGTTTCTTGACATAAAATGCAAATCAATATAAAGACTACGTATTATAAAGCTTACAAAAAACTTATAAAGAAAAGTGTAAACTTAATTTCAACTTTTATAAATTAAAATCTAAGCTTTCTCATTCGCCCCTACTTTTTAAATGACTGAAACTCATCATGCATGCATTATAAACTATTCAACACTATGAACTTTAATGCTTAAAGTCAGTTGAATATTTTAATGTCAAACACTTACCTCGCTAGACGGACACTTAGCAGCTGTCGACCCTACTAATATAGGTTATATCTAAGAATTACCGCCACGTGTTTTTAAAAATAGCGACGAGCGCGCTACCAACCGGCGCGTAAGTTAAAATCGGAATGAACGATGGCAGTTGGTCTCCGAAACAAGTATAGATACGCAACACGCAAGGCAAGCAAGACGTTGCGTCATAAAAAAGAGTAGGGATTACAGTAACGTCGCGTCGATACGAAACGTTTGTTGGTGTACGAAACGTCAAGCATTATGAGCCGGCTTTTTTGTATAGGTACGAGCATCACACGAATAGCATTGTTAACTCGTATACTTCTCATTTTGTCCGGCATGCGAGTTTGGCGCGCCCGCTTTCACGATGCGCGCTGTAAAGCTTACCATTGGGCAAGGCTTGGCTGAATCATGCAAAAGTGACGTTTGTGTTAGTTACCAAATGTAATAAAAAGGAAAAAACACGAATTTGGCATAGATATACTTGTTTGTGATCATGATATTTTGTTGTATTGAAGCTTGCAAACTGCATTTAACTTCTACTATATTTAGGTTACTATATTAGATGTAGTAAGGCGCATAATTTTAGCAAATGTGTGATTCATAGTTGAATGATGGACATTCTTCTTTGACGCAAAGTAAACTAGGTTAATTGCAATACAAATAACCACCGAGTGAATAATGTTACAAATTGGGAGGTTAAGCTTAAAACGTTTATTGTTAAAAAACATGACAATAAACGTTTTGCAGTTTTCTATGTCAATGAACTTATAATTTTTCGGAAAAGTATTGACGAAGTTGATAAGTATATATGTTATACGTTATACATCATATTTAGAAATTGTTAACTTTTTCAGTAACTAGTTAACTCAAACAGGAAATAACCGCTGTTCAAGCGTACTTCAGGTGCTTATTTTTAATTGACGAGAACCCGCCAAGGATATATTATGAATTACTAGCGTTTCGCCCCCGGGTCCGCCCATTTTATATACTGCTTAAAAAGCCAATCCTTCGTTCGCGAGTCCGACTCGCACTTGGCCGATTTTTTTTAACTTTTTATAAAGTTAAAATTATCATCATTTATAGACCATAATATAGTATAGTTAACTATAGTTTCACCCAATTAAACTGTAGCTATTTAAGTTTATATGATATGACTAACCGTGCAAATGTGAAGGAAGTCGATCCGTACAAATGTGGCAGTCCTTGGGGAAGACCTAAGTTCAATAATTGTACGTTCTGAAATGATGTTGACGACAATGAGGACCACAAGGAATGGATTTTATACTACATCCCCGAGCGTAGTTAAAATTGTGTCGTGTGCGAGAGGAATACCCACTACGACTTATCTTAAATTCTAAAACGAAACAAAACGTGAATCAAATTTTAAAATCTCATAACACAACCGCAGTAAATTTGACATTTTGCTAACAATTGAACTTCTTCCTAAGATATACATGTAGTCAATCATGTTTTAATTCGAATTAGTATATAACAAAATAATAAAATAAAATATATAATAAAATAAAGCTTAACAGTCTGACGGTTTCCACGCTTGCTTCGATAACGTTCACCGAAGCTCTAGAGACGGTCCGTCGCGTAAGCTCTAACCCCAGTTGCGTCAGCCGCTAGACCTTCAAGCGTTTGAATACAATCCGCACGAGTAAATTAATGGCAAAGCCCGCTGTCTGTTACATCATTCTTGTATATCGTACACTCCTCGGCAATTCATAAAGGTAAAAAGGAAAAGCAAATGGGCTTAACGAAATGAACCCATTACGAAATTAACCAATAAGTAATGCTAAATTATTAGCACGTACGTTTAAAAATATCTTCACCTGTACCTTTACTTTTTAAAATTACTTTTTTCTCTTACTGAGGCCTTTTAACATTTATTTTTGGTAAAAATTCAAGTAATATATATTTATCTAGAATATTTATATCTAACTTGTGATGTAAGATGGATTCAAGCGAATCTTTCAGTAAAATTGTATGGGTTTTTGCTTTTTTGCGCTTGGAAAACTTTGTTATCTTAAGATACGGTATTCTTATCTAATCGTTTGAATTGTACTTAAAATAACTATTAAATATTAGGTCCCAATCGTCTACCGTACATTTGGGTCTTAAATAACGACAAATGATTGACTCTCCCAAATGAATTGCAGCCACCGAGACGGATATTAATTGGTTCGCATTGTCCTAATTTACGAGCCGAAATTCGAAGACAATATTTTTCTCAGAAATGCAAGTAAAGTAGTTCTTATTGCCTTCACTTGTAACTTAAATGAATTAGCTGCTGGTATGATATATTAAAAAAATAGCTATGTTGATACATTCGGTAACACATATAAAAATTGTTAATTGTTTTTTATGTGAGAAGTTGGCAAGCTAGCTCACTAGCTAGCTTACCACCTTGGACTCACTTGATGAACCACTGTTCATCTGATGTTGAGTTATAACCGCCGCTGTTGCAAATATCCACATATCCATATATTTGCACCCCTTCACGCCGGTCTTCATGAGATTTCTGCCCATTCCTGCAACAGCGAAGACTACCATAATGAACAATAGTTGAATTTCTAATAGATTTTCATTAAATACTTTGTACCTTTTACCGTTACCGTACAGTCAAGTATAAATTTTATAACAAAGGATGCATTACGTAGGTCATACTTTTAAGTTCCTAGAAAGTTAAAATGTAGAAAGTTGCCAATACTGTTTTTAGGAATTTAAATTTTTTATAATACTGATCTTTGCACTTAAGATTAAACATTGAAATTTGTAGAAAAAGTACGAAAAGATGTCGCCGCTGTGGGAATCGAACCCACGTCTTCTGCATTCGCGGCCTGACGCTTTAACCACTAAGTTAAACGGCTGATTGCCAAACCGACGAAAATCTTAACGTCTTTTATCTACATTGTTTTTTAGCTTTTGAAGCAAGCTTGGCGCATTGTTATATCCTTTCCAGCATACAATCACGATCTCCGGGGCTGGGATCTGTTGGAGAACATAGCCTGTAACCATTTGGACGTGGTATTGCCGCTATAGGACCTATAAAGGCATGCATAGACTTGAGGATGTTAATCGATGTCTACACGTAGTCATATGATGGACATGTACCTTCAAGGCTCCTGAGACGACGAGAATAGACGACATAGACGACTTCTCTAACAAAGACAAAAATTCTGGCTCGGGACTCAACGGAATTTTCCAATCTGTACCCCGGGTAAGAGAGACTCAGATATCTTCTCTTGTTGACATATAAAGATATCGGCGTCTCAGAGATAGTAGTCTAGAAATAGCAAGAATCCGCGCCCACGCTTTAACGACGAAGGGCTATCTATATATTTTTTTAACATTGCCCTTAATTTAGGATAATATTATACTGTGTTGTAAGGACGTCTTACAAACAAATTTCGCACCCAGATGCGAAACAACTATCTGTGGGTCACTTAGTTGTCACGTGTGGGAATCGAACTCACGACCTCCGACTCCGAAGCCGATACCTTGGCGACTGCGCTACGGAGTCATCAGCATGCATTTTATTATCGCAACTTACCTAATGTTTTTGATAATCTTCTGTCAAGTTCTTTTTAATTACTTGTAATTTTAATCCTATTATACAATTTTCAATAAGATTTAAGCAATATTATTTCGGATCACATGCATATATTATCGCGTTGGGCTCGCCTGATGTACGGCTCTCTAATAACCATCGTATAAAGGAGGCTTTGACCTTGAGGAGGCATTGGGACATATTATAGGCCGTTATATATACATGTGTGCATTTAAAAACGAAGATTGTGTTTTATGTTAGTCTATTTTTATTGAGCGGTATAGGATTTTTCGTGTACAAGGTATTCGTTTTTGGATCGCAACTAAGTATTTTCCCGATGACGACAAATATTTGTCCTCCCCAAAGAAGTCGTTGCAGAAAAAAAATCACATTTGTCCTGGGCTTTAAAAAGATTGTATGTATTATAGTAACTTCCACTCATCTCGTATACATCGCTTCGCGTCGCTATTATGTATGTGTAATTGGGGTATCGTGATACGTTTAGTGCTGACATAACGCGATATGACCTGCCAATGCTAGAATTGGATAGTGGATAGGCAAACTCGAGTTACATGTCAACGTGCAGCTTACGCCTTGAACGCGTTGGGAGAGGACCAACGCCTTTTAATACTAGGAATTGATGTAAGATAAAACATTGATCCGAATCGGAGCCCAATTTATGTATATAACATGTGCTTAGATGATATATACATAAATTGGGCACTCGTTTATCGTTATATAGTAGTCAATATTCTGTGTATGTGAGTACTGTTTGAAATGAAAAGGTCATTTATATTTCATTTAGATGATGTTGACTTTCGGAGATATAGAAAAAGTAAATCTTCAAAAAATGGCAACATATCAACCGCAAACGCTGCTAATGCATAAATATGCATTGTTTTGCGTAATCACACAACATCATGTCTGTACACTCGAAAACATTTAATAAAAGATAAATAAAAGATTTGTATTCTACTTAGAGACAACGTGCTCACGAATCGTGAATACGGTTTTGCACATGGTAGATCTACAGAAGATGCAGTATTTAGTTAATTCTGTAGTTTCGCATGTGATAAAGGACTAAAATGCACAGGTATTTTTAAGGTCTTGCAAAGGCGTTCAACTTAATTTCTATCACAATTCTTTAAATAACAATGGAGGCTTATGGTGTGAGAGGCAATTGACTTATATAGAGCTAATATTTAAGGCAATTTCCTCTCACCTGTCAAACTGACAGTAATATCGCTGAAGAAAAATGAGCCTGAGTAGCATTCTTGGACCTACCCTTTCTTTTACACATAATGACATTCTGTACAAAACAAAATTCCAAGTGCTAAAATTTTCTGTTATTCAGACAATACTGCCGATTTATATAATATGTATTAGGTCCTACATATGAAAGGCGGTCGTACCTTTAAAGGCGGTTTGCACTGCCGTATCGGAATTTAATTATTTTTCTTGTAAGGAGTTGTCCAAATTTCGGAAAAAATGATAATCTGTTGCGGCAAGGTCCGGTGAGTACAGGGGATGACGCAGATATTCCAATTGTAGCTCATCTAACTTAGTAGTTGTTTGTTGTGCTGTGTGTGGTCTTGCGTTATCGTGAAGCAGCAATGGCCTAAAGTGATCGACCAATCTCGGTTGTTTAGCAGCTAGTTTTACTTCAGGGTTTGCAGTTGCTGACAATAGATATCTGCCGTAATCGAATGGCCAGATTTTAGAAAGCTGTAGTGAACGAGCACACCGGCTAGTCCACCACACACTAACAAGTAACTCTTTCTAAGTCAATTTTCGTTTAGGGCAGTATTTGGTTGGGTTTCCAGGGTATAAAGTAAGTCGTAAAGTATCCACTTTTCACCACAAGTAATGATTCGATTTAAAATCCCTTCATTATTGTTTCTGTTGAGCAAAGTAACACAGCAGTTGACGCGTGTTTGCACTTCGATTCACTCAATTCATGAAGTACCTACCCATCGTTCAAGTTTTTTTGCTTTTACGATTTGCTTCAAGTGGTTAATACAGTTTTATCACCACCTCTTTGTGATAATTATGGAAGTGGATTCACTTCCATAATAGCCTTTAATTCTTCATTTTCCACTTTGGCCTCTGGCCGTCCACGGGGTTGTTTCTGAAGGTTGAAATTTCCAGAACGAAAACATTGAAACCAAAACCGTACCGTGCTTTCTTTTGCCACTCCAGCGCCGTTCACATCATTAATCCTTCGAGATGTTACAGAAGCACTGGTGCTATGGTTTTCATGTTTTCCATTGTGCGGTAATAAGCGACGCCAAAGAATAACATAATGAGGAAAAAACAAATGAATGACTGTTTTCAAAACTCAAATGTACCAGCTAAATGAATTTATAAATTTTAATTTGGAATTCTTAACCAAAGAGGAGATATTTCAGATCAAAGTGGTCAGTACGACAAAAAGTTAATTTCATATTTAAGAACCTAATTTATATAATCGATATTTTCCATAGCTAATCATGGACGACAGTTTGTCAAAAATCGGAATCGCTCTCATTTCAATTTGGTTAAATTACAACGTATTATCCCTTAATCTCATAAAAAACTAAGTGCTAATGCTTCCACAAGACAGCCGCTTCTGCCCCGAAATCTATTAATTCTATTAAAGTACATTCCACCCCTTTATAAATCACCTTAACTGAACTCAACTGAAGTTTAAAGAACAGATTCGTGTTACTTTGGATGAAAAACTCACATTCCAGAAACATATAGCAGAAAAGACTGAAAGAGTTCTAAAAATAATTCCTGTCATGAAAAACGCTGCAGTCGACGGCAAATTAATAATGATGATTGTGTACTTAGTTCTGTCAACCGCTCATTAACTACTGCATTCTTGCAAGAAGAGTCTTAAAACACAAATAAAGGAAGAAATCCGAAAAATGAAAATATTGAAAAGTAAGGTAAATTTTTGTAATTAAGTTTTCGCGAAAATCTAAATTTTCCAATATCTTTTTATCGTGTTAACTCAAGGCCTCGATCTTTATACATATAGCAGGGTCTATAGACCTCAGTAACTGGTATAAATTTCAACTTGCTAGGTCCACCCGTTCCTGAGAAAATGTGGTGATTATTTACCAATTTTATTATAGCAATATAATGGATAGGTACAGAACCCTCGGCGTACGAGTTTGACTCTCAGTTGGCCGGTTGTTTTTTTTTTTGTAAATGTTATAGGCATTACTTAGATTTTTTTCATTTATTTTTATTTTTTGTTATTTCGTGTTTACTGTTCGTATCGTGTTTACAGTTCGTGCGCTGGCACCAAATTGCGGAAAGCATTAACTTCCTCCATAGGATGGGATGCGCCTAGTGTGGAGGTTAGTATGAACAATTTTAAACGTATATTTAAATAAAATATGTCTTAATTTTTTCAAATTAAATACACAACAAAATAAATGTAAGGAGTTGTAACACTGGGACATAACACAGTTAACACAGTCAATAAATGTGAAATGCCAGATAAATAATTTTCATGATTGAACCAGGCTGAATTGACCATGATTTTAAAACTTACATTTTCTTGAAAGCTATTTGTATTTCGGAGTTACATTTTACCGGTCCAGTTATTATATTAGGACGTATTCTTTAACACGTTAATAGATATTTTTTGTATCGTTAGTCATTTATTCTGAGTAATTTCAACAATGAGTAGGTACTCGGAGACAATCTTTTTTCAATTTATACAACTACTATGTCAGACCCACACTTCCGAAACTTAATGAAACACACATCATCAGAAAACATAAACAAATTTTACGTTGGGTAAGCGCTCATCTATGTAGAGACCTGGTGTCGCGAAGAGAAAATTGGCGTCTTCGTTTACATACAACATCGCCGTCTCCTAATTTTCTTCTTTCTGGGTACCGGAACTCGGCAAGTTCTGCATGGTATACAGCAAGGCAGGTTTTCGTCTTCGCATTGTATTTGTTTACACGAGTGAGTTGCTGGCTTCACTTTTGCTGGAGCTCGCGGTGTCACCAATTCAACCTAATTCATAGAAGTGAAATAATTACAATCAATCAACTTGCCCAATGGCATGAATGATCACAATTTAATTAGATTACCCCGACTTAACCTTAGTAGGACTGTGAGCGCTTTTGTCAGACTGTCAATTAGGCGTCATCAGTCATTGGAGTCGGCAGACAAACTGTAATTTATCCAATTAAAAGGCAACTGCATGATATGGGGCCCACGTTTATGGATTGTTAATTTATGTATTGGTCACATTTATTTCATTTGATATATCTATATTATAAACGGTCTTAACGATATAATAAAAAAAAGAATTTGGATAAAACATAAAATAAGTTGGCTCATCAGTTCAGATAACTGCGGTAACAGTTTTACTGCGGTGGTAGGGCCACGCAGCAGCCTCGGCTGTTGCACAAATCGGCAGGCTCCTCCGGGTAAGTACCACGGCCTCATAGACGACCGGCGTAAAGTGGTAGTATAATACTTTCACGTTTCGTTTGGTGAGTGAGATGTTCGGAGACCAAAGTGGAAAATGAATTAGACTTGCAAACACGCGTCCACTGCTGTTTTACTTTGCTCAACCGACACAATTTTTCATCACAAGTAATGATTCGATTTAAAATCGAAGTGGTGAAAAGTGTATACTGTACGTAAATCGGAAGCGCTCGTCGCAATGGTTGAACCCTGGAGACCCAGCCAAATCCTGCCCCAAACGAAAATTGCCTTAGAAAAAGATACTTGTGAGTGTTTGGAGGACTAGCGCCGGTGTCGTTCACTACAGTATTCTAAAATCTGGCCTACTTATAAGGAAAAAAATTGGTGAAAAATTGGTGCCGGCACCAGGAATCGAACTAAATTGCTCGAGTATGATGTATTAAATTAAAGGCAAGCGCCCGGACACTGAGATATCACGGCTCTTGCTATCACGGCTCTATCCCTACAAAACGTCAATTTCATAAGCTAATACACACACGGTATATAATGGATTTGTGTATAAAATGAAATTTGATTTGATTTGTTTGTAGTTTGAGACAAGGCTTGGGAAAGAGAAAAGATTAAAGAAAAATATGCCCTGTTTGCGCAAATTTCTTACATGTATCAAAGATTTTTTAACTTTTCTGCATACATCGGATGACGAAGTTGAGACTGAGTTTAGCTTTACTCCGTGTAAAGTGTTTAGGTTGGGTCTACGTTTATTCTCCATTAGGAAACGAAAGGCCGAGGACATCAGCGGCGCTTTGGAGGCAAGTGATTATATAAGCCCAGGAGCTTATTCCGTATAGAAAAGTGCAGTAATTCCACGTAGATCGTAAGTTTGACATAGGTACGTCAGAAAATTATTTCCGTGCGATAGCGAAAGAAGTGGTTTGAGGAGGACGCTTTGATGATGTGAACCAGATTTTAATAGCGAATAGTATTATTTTGTTAATGAAAGCTCGCATATTTGGGCGCGGTTCTACTTATGAACAGATGGCAACGAGGACCTAATCGATATCGACGATATGGTGGCGCTCGAAATGGCAACTCGGAGCATTCGGAATTACGGAAAGGAGTAGAATTGCAAATCTAGTTTCTATTGATAGTTTTACTGCTAGTTCTAAAAGCTGCTCCAATTAGCCTTTTCAACAAGAACGCTCGTTACTTAGTTAATGTTACAAATAATGTTTCACATAGGTAAGTAGAGTGATAATTATACTAAATTCCACTTAATATATTTTCCGTTAACTTAATTAAATTTAGTCTGATATAAATGTATTATATTTTAATATTACTTCTGTGGCCGACTTCTGAAAAACCATTTTAATATTTTCGTTTATTCCAAAACTCTTTATAATTTTCTTTTGTAAATATCGCCGCCCATAGACGCTTACAACATCAGTGGAGTACCAATTGTATTGATAACTTTTTGAGAAGAGCGAGATATATTATCTGAATCAAAAGTATAAATGTGTCTACTTCAGGACGGTAAGGCCCTGGTAATTTGGCGGAAACAACCGTCAATTCTTGCACCACCAGAAATTGTTATGGATGTACCAAAGTATCACGAGACCAAAAATAGAGTAATCGAGCTCATGAGAATTGGCTACCTCTATATTTCCAGTGCGATTCGGCTCATCAGTCTGCTTGCCAATCTTCAGAATGAACACGTCCTTGTCTGGGTGAAGGACCTTTTGCGCTTGCACACCCTTTGGCGCGTCCTTGGGCGTGACGTTACACACGTTACACATAGGGTCGTGACCCTCAGTAATGTTGTAAACCAATTCGGAGTTGAGAGCCGTCCGATGTGTGAGAGACTCACAAATGTCATCTGGCACCTGTGGAAGGTACTAGGAGTAGTCGTGCGCTAAATAAAACTTTTGTTATTGGTGTTTTTGTATAGGTATTAAAATTAGTGCGTTGTGTGCATTTTTTGTGTAATTAACTAGTAGAACTCGTGTCTACAATTGTTAAAATGTTTAACTTTTATAATTTATCTTGATTGATATTTTAAATCAATAATCTACTCTAAAACTATAAATTTTTTCATAATTGTAGCAGTTAACTAACATAAATATAAAAAAAGTGTTTTTCATTTGATGTTTTCGATTGTACTTGTACTTGCTTACTGGAGAAATTACGGAAAAATAAATAAAAACAATTGGAACTGGAATGGAAATGGACCTGGAAACACGTTACTTTTTAATTTGCGAAAATGATTGTTTTTTTTTTTCTAGTTTGTGGCGTTCTTGTGAAAATTTTCACTCAAATCGAGATACACAGGCTAGGCGCCCTCAGCGCCTGGCTACCTCAAGCCCGATGGATCAGTAAAGGCCCCTAAGGCCAACAGTGGTTGATCCAGCCAAAAAAAGAGAAAGCCATTTCGACTGCGACCACAGAACGTTAATGCTCTTACGAGAGTAATGACTGTGACCGTCAGCAGAAAAAAAGTCGTAGCTCAAACAGAATATGCTTGCATATTTTTTGACAAATCAGAACATTACATTAGGAGGGAGCGAGACTAGATAAGCACGCAAAATTGTTTGCTGTATGTGTACTGTGTACTTATTAAACGAGAAATTCTTGTATATATATATATATATATATATATAGAAAAGTAAAAAAGTAACAGCCAATACATGTCCCACTGCTGGGCAAAGGCCTCCTCTATACAGAGGGTATCTATATATATATATATATAATCGGAATCTCGAACGGCTCCAGTGATTTTCTAGGTAGGTTTTATTTTTAATATTAGTCGAATATGACAATAAAAAGATATTAAATTCAATTGATAACGGTTTATTTTAATAACTTGAAATTATAGGTAGACTTCAAAAAGAAGTGTAACTTCAAATATCACAATAATACTTCCTCGCAGTAATGTCCTTCACGAAAACAACGTGTATGCACATTCCGTTAAGATAACGAATGTGCACTAGGCGTTAAACTTTTAATTTTCTTTAATTTAAGGGATGACATATCCGTGATCCGGACGGTCCCGCACCTACCAACTTTCTTTTATTTTATTTTCGAATATTAAGTATAAGGTAATATTAAAGGCATTGCTAGCACACCAGCGGCTCACCGACACGTTCCACCAAGCCATTGAAGAAATCCTTGCTGCAAAATGGTTCCAAGGAATCCAAAATTTCATAAATAATTAATAGGACGTATTAACATAAAAAGTTTTTCACCCGACTTCAAAAAAGGAGGACATTCTCAATTCGACTGTATTTTTTTTATGTTCGTTACCTCAGAACTTTCGATTGGGTGAACAGATTTCGATGATTCTTTGTTTATTTGAAAGCCGGTGCCTCACGTGTGGTACCATTTCAAATTCAATGGTCTTGTTTCACTGGTTCTGACTATGACATTCATGAGAAAACCATATGTCTTTCATTTGCATTAAGTATGTGACAAATAGACGAATAAATCAATATCACACCAACCGATTACAATGATTCTTGTTTTATTGGAAAGGATGTAGGTACTTCAAAGGTAGTTAGATGAAAGCTTGGTTAGGTTCTGATTATGGGATCCATGGTCACACAAAGTAACGGAATTCTTCAATTTTTAGGAGCAAATTAACGATACTCGGCCAAATCTCTTATATGTTATCCCGATGTTTTAGTCACCTACCGTAACGACGCTATGGCCACGCACACAAACAAAACAATAAGCACTCGCGATAAATTTTTTGAGATAAGTTCAAATGAATATAATTAATTACTTACGAGTGATTTTAATTATTTATCATTTTTTATAATTCATTATATATGTCTACAATTTAATTTAAAAAAATGGATACACTTAGAAAAGCCTCCCTACATGTATAATACATTGCATCCATGTGAAGCCGGGGCGGGTCGCTAGTCTCGCTATATAATAGTGTTATGGCTGAACATACCTACATAACAAATATACATATAAACATTCGAATTGATAACATCCCTCTTTTTGACGCCGGAAACCAATAAACGTCAACATAATGACCTTATGAAAATCCAGATGCTTTCAGTATGAGTGTGTCTAAGCGACTTACCTGAACATTAACCAAGTGTCCCTGTCGGCCTTCCCCTCCTATTTGCTCAGGGTACCCGCAAGTCTCCGAGCAGATGGAGCGGTCATCGTCACATGTGCAATGTTGCTGCAGCTTGAGCTGGGATGGAGTCAATTTCGGAGGCTTCGAGGTGCTTTTTGGTACTCTAATCTTTACCTGTGGCAAATCATGGGGATGTTTTCGCAGTCGAGGAAAAAAAATTATTATTATAACAAATATATTATTATATACAAATTGTTAAAATATTTGCGATAATAATAGTAGAGTATTTGTGTCGAAATTGTCAAGAATAAATAGTACGATCAGAGCTTGAAGGAAAGTGAAAAATATATGAAATAACGCGCAGAATTCTTTTTAGCTTTGTAAGTTATCACGAAACTTATTATTTACATGAAATAATAATATATGGTGATTATATTGAATAAATACTTTGTTTTGTACACATGGTTTGATGTTATCATGTGAACTTTACTTATTCTTATTATTCCATATCAATGTTTATATTTTCTTGAAAACTTTTTGAATAACAAAATCGCTATTGATCTAGAATTATTTAAATTAAAATAATTCTAATAAGCAGTGCAAGCAATAAAAAACATGCATGTGTCCGAGTGGATCCGAATAATTAAATTTATCAAAGCGCCTGTTCAAAATTTTAGAGCAATTCTTTATACCGCGCTTTATTGCACACTTTATTCAATACTCTAAATTCGTAAATATTATTTTTAATATGGATGATAAGCGATTGCTTTTCTTTGAAAATATATAAAATCACGGATATAGAAGAGTATGAATATCTGCTTATTTTTATAATATTGCTTTCGACATTAACATACGTGTTGAAATTGTTCTTATCTAATATTTTTGACTGATGTTTCAATAACGACATGGCATGCAGCACGAAATTTTACGTGCGAGTTATATCAATTATTAGGAATATAAAAACATCCACGTGATATTCGTGAGTGAAACTTACAAATAATGCCGCCCCAAGGACCCAATGACTCAATGCCAAATAATAAAAATTGAAATAGTAAAAATTATAAAAAATATTTACGGCCCGCTCTTAGTTTACTACTCCAGAAATTTCACTTTTAAATAAATAAGTATATATAAAAAAGAACCACTTACCAAATTTTATAAATTATCTAAAAGGTGTTTAAGTTGATCCGGGTTCAAAGTTAACTAAAATATTTTAAGTTGATCTGTATATGCATAATAATTTTGAATTTTTTTTTATTAATAAAGACCTGTGTTTAATGAGCCATTGATGACCTACCATCTTTCCGTTTTTGGAATGCTAGAGGCATTATGGTCAGAAAATAAATATATGGTCTCTGTGTGACTGAAATTTCTGTTATTTCTTATTTCCATTTCTGACTATATTAACTTTTTCGATTTGGAGCAATTTGACAGGTGACTACCGAGAATACTGAAGAAATAAATAAAAGTGGAGTTTCTAGTTAATAACAATCAGTAGAGACTACTGTAGAGCCATGAATTAGATACGAAAAAAACGGCACTGACTCACGAGTTGAAGGTGTTACGAAATTGTTTCAACTATCCCGCAATTTTAAAGATTTGTTTTATATGTACAAGAGCTGCCAGGATTAATAAAAAGAGTAAGAGACAACGGGCGCTGATGGCACCCATCTCTGCCGGAGATAAAGTTTTTGCGGTGTTACTCAACGTGAAGTAGAAAAGTTATTGGTTCGTCCGGGTTGAATAATGAAACATAATATATATTATTAAGGATACATAATGTATGTACTATTTTCTAGATTCTAGAGAAGAAGATTCTAGAATGATTATTAAATTTATTTCAGTAGTTGTTCGAACTTTATCAGTATATTCTGCTATATATCAAAACTTAAGTTAAATTATTTTATTTTCCACATATATTTTTCGCTTAGTCGGGAGGTACGCCTTAACTTTAATAATTCTTTATCGACCTTAATGATTTAAAAACTATTTTATAGTTTCTAACAATTTCTAAAGAAAGAATGTATGACAATTTTACTTTTTATTTTATTTTATCGATATCGAGCGAGATTAAAACAATGTATAATATTTTGTTATTTGGCGGTAGCGAGTGTAATGACATTTAATTTGTGTGTACCCTCGAATGAAGACTAGCCGCTAATTGTAAATAGTTTTTGATATACCTAAGTATTTTAGCACATTAAATAAACCACTGTACACTCGTGTAAAATATTAGTGTAGTCCGAATTAGGCTTAAGGGTGGCTCTATCGACATTGTGATGATCGTTTATTAAACCTGTTCCATTCTTTTTTATTGTTGAATGAAGTACATGCTGGAAAAGCCTACTCAAATCCACCCTTGCCTCGGATGTGTCAGACTCGCATCGACTTAAACCCGGTGTCCCACCCAAGCCAATATTGACAGTGTCATGGGAACGTTTTCATATACTTCCGCTCGCCGGGAGACAGGCCCCTATCCTCAAGTAACGCGCGAAACATTGAGCTTTCCTACTCAGCCTTTTTACACGTACGTGTACGGGCAACCGGCCACCGCATAGCCAAAAAACTATGAAATTGTAGATATAATAAATCGAGGTTTGAAAAGTGGTTATCTGTTGGGGCAAGGCCTGAAGGTAGTGGGTGTCGGAGACATTCTAATCGCAGCTCCTCTAATTTAGCTAACTTCTGACGGGAAGTGTGAGGTCTAGCGTCGTTCTGAAGACTAGGAATTAGTGATGTGCCGGATCATTAAAATTGTAGATCCGCGGATACGGATCCGGATACGGATTATTGGCGTCAATATCCGCGGATACGGATACGGATCTTAACTTAATATCCAGGAAAATCTCAATATTAGTGTAATCACCGTCCTTGAATTTGTGTCTGATCCGAAGGATAAATTTAAATAAAATAAATTTAATTTAAATAAATTTAAAAAAAAATGTTTCAAGTAGCCACATTATTACACCCACGGGTCAAAGGAATAAAAAAAAAATTGAAGGTGTGGGTTCGGTCCCACTACTGGAAAAATGTTGTGTGATGAATATAGTGTTTTTCCAGTGTCTGGGTGTGTGTGTAATATATATTTATTTACAAAAGAAATGTATAATATATATTTATTTACGAAAGAAATGTATGTTTAAGTACGTTTATCAATTTTCTAATACCCATAGTACAAACATTGCTTAGTTTGGGACTAGAGAACGTAAAAAATGTATCCGAAAATATTTGTATTTATATTGCTCGCATATTCATTTTTTATCATGACTTTTGTGCCAAGTTACTCTATTTGAAGTACAATTTATCGTTCCTTTAATTGTCTCTGTGTTTTTAATCAAAAGTTAACACTAAAAGATCCGTCAAAAATGTAGTGGATACGGATACGGATCTTTTTTTTCCGACGGATATCCGGAACATCACTACTAGGAATAGAAATATACCGGCAGTAGTTACTCCTCAATACTGCTCGCGATACCTGTCGATACTTTCCCTCTTCCCTTATCTAACTAAACTTCTCAGACAACAGCATCAGTCTGGCTCAAGTTTTTAAGCAATGTAAATTTTTATTTGTCTACTTCTAACACAGAATACGTATTTTACTTAAAAAGTATGTTAACTAGTTTTAGTACTATATTATGTATCCTAATTTACGATAACCTTATTAATTACCTCATTTCCGTTGAAAATTGCTCCGATTTCTTCGTACGGTTTTCGACTTTTTTGAACTTGTGTATTTTTTTGCATTTTAAATACTATTTATTTTCACTTAAGTTACGAAACAGGAAATTTACACTAAATTGGTATTACGACACCTAAATTTTTAGATTAATGTTTTTTCTAATATTTTAATTGATTATGACATTGCCTTCATAAATGTCACAGATTCTTATGAAGATTAAGAAGATATTGTTTATACGGGTGTGATTACGACATAGAAAAAAATAAATTAGAAGTGTTATATAAATATAAGAATATAAAAGTATGCTAATGATAATGTATTTTGACATTATATTTTGCTGGTTATTCTTTAATATAGGTAACTTTATTTATTATTACTTACAATGAAGACTTCTTTATTTGTCGTTTCGTTAGGCATGGGCGTATATCAGTTCATTAAATATAACTACGTATGCGTTAACGTTTATTTCACAATGTAGAGATAAAGGAGCAATACATCCTGCCTAACCCTATCCGATGAGTGATTGAACAGGCGGACAATAAGGATATTGTTATTCTTAAAATGGTACTTCGTTGCTATTGGACTTAAGATAGTTGATACACATAAACACGTAAGTGCCGGATACAAATCTCTCTCCGAAGAATCTCATAAAGTGGACGTACACGTTTTTACAATACCTCTGCATGTGCAGTTATGGTACCTAATATCAAGGAAAAGATGTTGCATTTATTGCTCTTAAATTTGAATGCGATCAAATGACATCGAGATACAAGTATTGTAAATATTTTCTTATTATTTAGCAAGAAGTATATGGCAAATTTTTTCAAACGTTAGGTGTATTAATAGATTTTTGTTAATTATATTGTCATTTTCACTTCTAGTGAAGTATATATAAGATTATCTTTATTTAAATGTATATATCAGGTTATTGACACATATTACACATTATTTACTTTTAAGACTAGAAAATAGAAATTCTACGTATTATATATACAGATATTTAATCATTGATTTTAGATATAAAATATGTGACATGAAATCAAAACTTAAAAATTACAAATTTTATTATCTTTTTATGAATTGTTTTTTGGTTTTCTCTAACTGTCGTGTATACACAAAAGTTATACGACTTATTTTTCTCAAATAAGAATAGATTGAAATGATGAGAAATAAAGTTCTTTATTCCTAAATAAGGCTTATCAGAAGCTTATTAAGGAATGGAAATTTTAATGATTACATCTTCGTTTTGTGATATTTAGAAAATAAGTTAATGAATCTTTAAGTCTTAATTTTACTTAACAAAAATTTAGGTTGTTTGTATATGCACAGAAACTGCAGATCAGTCACGTGTACAGCTGGTATAAATATGTAAATTTCATTCTCAATATATTCCGATCGATATTCTCTTGTGGAATATTCCTTTTACTGGGCAGTAAATAGATTTGACACGTCGCTTGTTGTGACTGGTAATGTAGCGAACTCATTATTCCTTATGTTCACGCCTTGGACGTTATTTTTAAAGTGAGTCGTAAGTAGGAATAATGTAGATATAAAATTAAAATTAAATAATAACCTTATAATTACACACAATGCACACAATCTTTCTCTCTCTTACACATACACACACACACACACACACACACACACACACACACAAACGCGCGCGCACGCGCACGCACGCCGCCCGCACGCACGCACGCACGCACGCACGCCCGCACGCACGCCCGCACGCACGCACGCGCGCGCACTCACACACACACACACACACACACACACTAATGCTCCCACATGCATTTTCACTAAACATACTACTCAGAAAAGCCTTTGTAGTTATTAAGTTTTTTCACCTCAATTTCATTTTAAGCCACAATTACCAATTTACTTTGTAGGTCTAGTCACTTTACTTTTGTTACTTGTCTTCACAATGTAACTAAACACCTATCGCAAATCTGGCAGCTCTGGCTCCCAAGATACAAGCACTGCTTATTTTGGGATCCATTGTTAATATTTCGTAGTAGAGGTTAGTTACAAAATTATGTATTAATGTTCATTAGTACTATTTTCTTATTTTTAAGACATGTTTTGTAACTTACTTTTGTATCTACTTTGATAAATAAATAAATTAGTTCTTTATTAAATGACTGATCATAAAACGTCATTGCTTTAGTTTAAGAGGGCGCAATGCAGGTAATTGTTCTCAACTAAGGTCCCAAGAGGTAAACTTTATTTATGTAGTTAATGTGTGTCTAGAACTACCGGTACTTTTTTATTTTTACTGTCCATAGATATTATAAAATTTATTTTCCATTATAAAAACTTTATACTGATGTGTCAAATCGAAAAGAAATCTTTGAAGGGCATGTTAACTTCCCCACAGAGTAGTTTGATATATAGGGAAACGCAGCGTTTTCATGGCAGATATTTGTGGTATGCCATAACTTTGTAGTTAATCTGGAGATTATACTATTCAAGATCACCACAAACTTCTTTTACTTCCATAACCAAATAATTCTCACACAAATGCTCGCCAGTTAGGAGTGCTATATAAGTCCTTCACCTTCATAACATGTCAATTGGCGAGTCCATTGTGCAGGACAGTCTAGACAGAGCAGGTTCGCGTACACACCTAAATCTTATCTTATCTAATCGGAATCTCGGAAACGGCTCCAGCGATTTTCATTAAATTTAATATGTGCGTAGATTCGGGGGCGAAAACTCAATCTAGCTAGGTTTCATTTTTAGAAAATGTCCTTTTATCCCTGTTTTCAGGGAATGAAAAATATAATTCGAATATGACGGTAAATTTCGCCGCAAGAGAAAATGTCATAATAGCTCGGTCGGTAATCGGGCGGCCCCAAAACAGACGGCCGTGGTTCGCGTCACGATCATTTATTTACACATTTATTTTTTTACTTTTTTTTCGATTCCAGATTAATTTCTTTATTTTAAATTTTTTGTCGATTTGTTATTTTGTTATTTTGTTATTTTTTTCCCTTTTTTTTAAAGTTCTTTCTTTTGTGAAAATTATCAGTTCATATTTTCTTATTATTACGTCGGTAAGATCGAAAAATATTATGCATACATTACATTACTCAGTAATTTGTATCTAAACGTAATTTCCAACACACACGATTTACCAACCTCCGGGTCCTCCGGGTACTTATATATCAAGAAAACTGTAATTAGTCTAACTTTCCCCAACATCTGAAGCTATAGTTAGTAAAATACGTTCTATTATTTTATTTTTTATGTGAAATGTAGCCAAACGAGCAGACGGTTCTACCTGATGTTAAGTGAATACCGCCGCCCATGGAACTCTGCTACACCCGAGGGTTTGCAGATGCGTTGACAACCTTTTTGGAAATTGGGCTCCGGCTACCTCACTCACCAGACGAAAGGCGAAAGAATTATACTTCCACTTTACGCCGGTCTTCTGTGAGGTCGTGATACTTACCCGGTCGAACCTGCCTATTCGTACAACAGCCGAGGCTGCTGCGTGGTACAACGGTACAACACCGTTGAATGTACGCAAATGAAAAATACCACAACTCATATAAGTGTGTGTATCTGTAATTTAGGTAGGTATCTATATATATATATATATATATTGCCACGAGGTTTTTAGCAGTCTCCTAAACGGTAAAGTTCATCGCAGCAGCAAAGTTCGTATCTTCAAAAAACTCTATTAACACTAAAAAGTTTAAATTAACACTAAATCTAATATAATAAAATGTGGAAAATCTAACCTATATAACCTAACCTACCAGACCTCTAACAAAATTTAACAATTTTTGGAGTTACCGTAACACATGCTCACTAATGTCTTATTAAGATAATTTCGAACCAATACTAGGGTTACTGGTTTTTAGTAATAATATTCTATTCTCAGAATAGACAATTCCCATTATATTGAACTATTTGTCTTCTTCCTCGGCTTTCATTCCTTCTTTAAGTGACGACAACAAGCAGTGCAAGGATTTTTTTGTTAAGTTTTTGCTTCAGGTCAAGGTGCTCTTGTTTGCGCACGTCTGCCGCATTACAATAAATCATGCGCATTTGTCTGCTTAAGAATATCAATTTATTCATACGTTAGAAAATGTTCAGCACTCGAAATACATCAGAGATTTATATATCGATATCGATTTGAGCTCAATATAAAATTATTAATGTGTTTATTAGGCGTACAATCGTTTATTTTCCAATATCAAATATTAAACTCATTATGCTAATTATTTCTTTTTCTTGCATAGTTTAACGCAGCAGCACGGTTCTGGTTCTGGATCGCACTGCGTTTCGCGAGTTTCTATGCGACAGGGGGGTTTTTTCGGAGGGCCTTTGGGGGTCACCAATTCAAGTTCCATCTTACATCGCCGGTCACCATTGGCACCCACTTTCGCAACCTGTTCAAATACTTTCATAAGTAACAATGGCCATCTAGCTAGTACAACCAATAAACGATGGGGAAGTTTCTCGAGTGACATCATCGCATTATCCATCGCAGTGCTGGGCTTCGCCTCCTAGATTTGATCGCTTCCTAGATGGACGACCTGTGCGAATGTGCCGGATGTCGATGGATGCAGGTTACCCAGAACCGTGCTTTGTGTCAGTGTGTGGGGGATGCCTATGTTCAGCAGAGATCCAAAATAGGCTAAAATGGTGATGATGATGATGCTGACTCTGTTCAAGTGTGAACTGATTGGTTAATAAATATTAATTTAAAAACATTTAAAAGACTATATTTTTCTTGTTCGAAACTCCGCATGAAAAACGTCTCGACTACAGCATCGTCTCCAAGTGTGAAAAAACATCTGATGTGATGTTTATTTGGTCTTTGGTATCATTATGTACTAGTTTTATACTGTTAGGTATATTTATAGAACAATCATACAATAATACCACTGTAATATAACAGCGACAAAGAATATACATAATGTAAATAGTTTATAAAACTAATGAATCACAAATTTAAAAACAGCAACGGAATACATAACTTTAATATAAACACATCTTTTCTCGGGTGCAAAATCGGTTGCGTAGCACCGGGATCCGGCACGTTTGCTGGAACTAAGTTGCATAACCAAGGGCAAGGTAAGGACTTTGGATCGGCTATTTTTATCTTGCCTTTCATTTGCGTCGCCTTAGCTTCCATCGTTTCTTTGTTTTTTTCCATTACGTAATAATTTTACTTACAATTTCGAAAACACCGGAAATTCAGTGACAAATATTAAGATGACGCTTATTAAAGAAGAAAACAACTGTTTGCACCACAGTATAAAAATCTTCTTAAAAAAATGCTTTTAATAAGACATCGGGTTAATGTAACGGCAATTTTTTTCCATTAGAGCCGGATGATTTTTGAAAAAAAAAAATTTTTTGTCGATACAGAATAGATTACAGTTTACGAGAAATAAAAAAATTTAAACTTGTTTATTCTCAACCAAGTACGAAACGTATTTAAGTCGAAAAGCCCCCGCGCTAATGGAAAAAAACCTAATTTTTCCTTACCTTCAGTAGTCATAACGATTCCTAAGGTTGTTAATAGTTTATTGAAAGAATTACCATTTTTTTCATTGCAAAAATGCAAAAAATACAGTTAAAATTTCACACACACTTGATGCAAGCACTGAAGCTAAATCCCCTTAATATTTTCGATCGATTCCTTTTCTTTAATACTTGCCAGACTGACAGCGCAGTTTTAGTAATAGGGTTCCGTTTTACCCTTTGCGTACGGAACCCTAAAATGAACACAACTCTAAACTTCCTCAGAACCATATCATCTATTATCTGTAATATGGCTGCGGCACATAAAATCATAAACCATCCTCTGGTGCGGCGGCGGGTCGAAATGTGCCTTCAACGATATTTCCGCCAGTGTGGCGGGTCTTTCTCGACCCACCAACATTAGTTTTGTACTGTTAGATTGAGCTTTTGCTCGACTTTCTTAGGTTCAATTTACTCTTAGATTTGCTAAAATGGAAATGAGCCAGGATCCAGGGAAAGCCGCTGATCGATATCGACCTGAACCTCACTAGAACGTATATTTATTAGTGATGGGTCGGCCAAAAATTAAGGATTAAAATTAAAATTAAAATTATCCTCAAATTATTTTTAATTAATTAATAAATTAATTTGAGGATATCCATGTTAATATTATAAAATTAATTATTATAATTTATTAATAATATTAATCTCAGAGACTACTGGTCTGATTTGAAAAATTCTTGCACTATTAAAAGTTTAAAAGGCAACAATGTCGTATAAGGATTATAACAATTAATTATTTTAATCTTGGTAAAATTTATCGCAGTATTATTGAGAGGAAACACAAAGGATTCGGATGATATAATTTTATTTATTTATAGGTAAAATGTAAGCTAACAGTGAAAATAAATAAATAATGAGTGTAAAATTTGTGCTTGTATATAACTAGTATACAAATCATATTTAAACATTTCAATTGATTTTTATTACTGGATGGCAGAGTATAGTACTATCAATGTATCAACCGAGCGAACAAAATAATAAATTGATAAATGTTGCTTTCAACTAGCAACGCCTTCCTCATTTGTCTTATTTTTAAATGTGTGTTTCATTAAACAACTACATAATTATCTTCGTGAATAAATTAGTATTAAGACATAAAAAATATAAACCGTTATAGAGCAACAATCTGTATAAAGCAATTGAAAACGAATTTGTCTATTACTTAGTGACTCGATAGCTTTACTATTTGTCCATTTGGATTTCAATAATTTATTTTAAAGTAATGTGTACAGAATAATTTCAAATACTAAAGATATGTTTTATTCACAATTTATGGAACAACAGCTTTTGCAGTAGCCAAGTGATTTACAAGGTGGTAATGAGCAAGGTGATGATGAGCAAGGTTGCAATGAGCAAGGTGGGAATGAGCAATGCCTCCGCGAGTAGCAAGGTTTAAGAGAACAGCAATTAATGCAAGGCATCCATTTGCTTCTGCAACGGACAAGAGGGCATACTTTGGCTTTATTGAGGCATGGCGAGATGCGTTTTTTATGTTCTTTAATTTTGGGTTGACTACGTGCTCTTCTTGGGCGCCTTCTCCCTACGGGGCAAGGCCGTAGACAAGGTGAGCTGAGGCATGGCGATCTGCATGGGTTTTTATAACAAAGCGCTGGTGGGCAGGGACTCTTACATGTTGATGGTATAGGTGCCGCGCATCTTATTATTGGTGAGCACGGGCGGCTCAGCGAACACTTTCCACAACATGATGGTTTGTAACATCTTTTGCAAGGTAATGGTAGACAAGGGACTGGAGGCTGAACACAGGGTTTCCTGCATTTTGGTTTATTACATTTCTGTCTACATGATGATGGTCGGCATGATATCAATTTATATTTCGAAACCCTACAAGTGGCCGGTCTATAGATTTTCGGTGGACATGGGCCGCTGCTGTTCGGACAAGGTGGGGCACGGCAAGGTGGCGGAGTCCATTCCAACATTAGCTCATTCCTTGCTAATGGTGCTCCAGTCATTTTACGAATCACCAGCTCAAAGACACCTCGACGCGGATTGTTTACAGTAGTTACTTTGACGGGTGCGTGTTCCTCTTGTGAAGCAGCTGCTATACACTTTGGCCCTTGACATGGATCTTTTCCGTGTATGGGGCATGGTTGTTTTGGAGAAATTTTTATATGGGAAACAGTTACCATCATATCGCCTTTCACCGTGCCAATTGCTGGGCAAGGTTTTTGTGTATCTGTTTTGATTGATACTGTTTTGGAAGAACTTGCCCCAGCTGCGGCCTGTTTTAATTTTTTCGTCTGCATCGACACGGAACTGGATGCGGATTTAGCTTGTGTAGAAATGGCATTTTTATTTTTCGACGGATTAGAGGTTACATTTTCCCTCTTATATAATTTCGTTATTGACGCTTGACTTCCCATCCCCTTTTTTAATTTTGAACTATTTTTTTTCTTACCAAAAAAATATACCTCTGGATTCCTTATGCTGCTTTTATTGTTAAGGTAGAGTAAATTCGTATTTAGGTTAGTGACAGGGACCTTTTGATACGATGAAAAATTTATTTTATTACGGCTTATTTGTAAACACTTGTTAATTGACCCCGTCGCTTGAGTTCCTGCATTCTGAAGATGTCCAAGGTCTTCACAAAGGGTCATGTACACTGTCGTTTCATTCTTACCGAATACTTTATTTTTTCCACTTCTCAATATGTCCAAATTGTTAGCGGAAAAGTTATCATTTTTATTTTGTAATTTCCAAAAGTAATCAATTGTTTCTGAAAAGGAAACGCTTCTGTCTTCCGACTTCATGGCGCTAATAGTACAAGTAGAGCTATTTGAAAATAAATCTGCTGTACCTGTGATAGGGTTGATTAGTTCGTTCGTAACGTTCATAACACTAGAATCTGTCAGCCAATGTGCACTTTCACAGTTTGCCATCATCTCACTTCCTGGCTGCATTTTCAAGCATTTTTGGTACAAGTCTAACACGGATGAGACTACAGTGCTTCTTGTTTCTGTTGTTTTCATTTTTACCATATCTTGCTCAAATGACGAATGCAGCAATGTACCTGAGATGAGATTTTTTAATTTCTGGTAAATGCCACGTTTAAATATAATGTCAACTAAATGTTAGTAAAATGCTAATAATGCATTATTATTTCATATGACCCTCATACATGACATTCCTATGAGTGTTTTACTTATTCTACATATTCTTTTATGTTAATCTATTAAGCCTAACCAAAGGTCTATCTTACTAAAAATATATAGACATGAGTGCAAAAAACATGAGGGAAACTATAAGCATTTTATTTGAGTTGTTAATAGCGTATATATTATACTGTGTGTACATATTTTATAATCAATCAATCAAATACATATACATACATATGTATATATGTTCGTAAGGTACCCCCGGTTCGGAAATTAGATTCTGTCGAGAGGAGACCGGCAAGAAACTCAATAGTTGATCTTTTTCAAAAATATCAGTATACAATATAACATACCGGTATAATAGTGTTATTCTAGCCTACGTAAGTATCAACAGTACTAAATCCACACATTGGCTTTGCCGAGATATTCCGCAATGGTATAATATGATTTAACCATAAGTTATGTTAGTTATACTAAAATTCGTAGGATACCTAAAATACTAGGTGAGTACATAATTTAAGAAAATAAATAACAAAATAGTTTTACTATTTAATATGTTATGCAATGATTATAAATCACATTTCGTATTGCAACATCTAGAACAAGTGGGAACACATTGAGCAGTGCGTGTATCTTTTACTGGTACAAACTTTTCATGTGTCACTGTAGGCGTTATAAACTGATATTCTAGTTTGGATTTACGTCCCGGCATTTCAATAGTTTTCGCAACACGCATTTTAATAACTTGATTGGAGAAGTCGTAAGTAACTCCAGGGTAGTTTTCTGAAGTTTTAGGTAATATTTGACTAGGTTCATCTCTGGAAATATCTCCAACTCCATCTGTAGTATACTTGAAATGAGATCGCTGCTTGTGCCCAGTACCGCAGAAATCCGAAGGTATTTTGAAAATTATCTTGTTACCCGGAGGACAGCAATCTGTACAATTTAAAAACTCTGAAGTTATTTTCGTTGTTCAGTTATTAATGTACATATACAAGATTTTCATAAAATTTTCGTTTAAAGTATTAGCACCATGTTATTTCTGTAATTCAGATTGTGGGGAATAGTATACATGTTATGCTATTCTATATATTTTTAAAGTTGCTTCTTTTGTTTCCGGTAGATTTTTTCAAACGCCCCAAACAACAGTCACAATCTGGGTCCGATTGTATACGAGCATTCGCCTTTTGGATTGGTGGCTTTTTATCGGGTCCTTTAGGTGTAACTAATTCAAATTCAAGCTTGCATTTTCTATCTCCCAAATTGGCTGTTTTGGCGACTTTTAAAACAAATGTATCTTTGTTTGGGTAATCTTGTTGTTTGTTATCACCACGTGCTAAAGCTACCTGTTGGCCATGCTTAGAGGCCTGCATGCAACCCTCAGTGGTACAAGTGAATTGGGTGTTTGCAAGCTGTCGACCATTACAGCATACGGCTTCACTAGGTAAAGCCAAACTTATTTGATTTTTGCCGCAGGGAGTCTGACACAATCCTCCACTTGGACTTTTGTTATAAGGGCTTTGCATTGCGCAATGAGTTTCACTGATCTTCTTAATAATGGACATAGTCGCAGGCACTTTAATTTTGAGTTCGTTACCATTTAAATTGGTCCCCATTTCTTCAAATTGCTTACTGCGACCTGGTCACCAAGAAATATGTCTAAGACTAGTATTGGTTTTCTAAGACCATGTGACTTATTAAATTAACTGATTGAAGATTATTGAAAATTAATTTTGGTGATTTATTTCGAAAATCATTTACAATTTTTCATAAGCGGATAATCATTTAGAATACAGGAGAGCGCGGTTCTTGGAAAAAAAAAAACTTAAGATTATATTCTCACCTTTAGGCACATGTAGACAGTATTGGTCAGTATTTCTGCATATCATTTTTTCTTTCATAGCCGACTTTGGGCCGGAACAATAGCAGGGGTCGTCAAATTCTTCACATGGCATGCTATTAAAGGGATCCCGACCTAAAATTCAATTTACCATTTTAATGAATGTAAGTGTAAAAACACAAAATATTTTAATTAAAATGCATTTGTACCTGGTGGGCAAACTCCAAGTCTATTAGCCTCGCTTACTGTACAAGATGGTCCATTAAATCTCGCTGTATCACTCACCGCACCTGCTTTTCGGGTTGCCTCACAAACGCATGGATCTTGGGCAGTTTGATAATCTCTTTGAGGTAAACATGAACGGTCTATGGTGGCAGATGCTCCGCCTGTTTTTAAATTTGGTGAGCCACTAGCACCTTGGAATTTTGTTACTATCAATTTTCCAAAACAGGATATACGTAAAAACATAATAATTTCGCCTGTTTCAGTGCCATCTTCACCAACAATCCGAAATGAGTCCTTTAGAGCTTGATAACTGACGCTATTTGGGTCATCTAAAAACTTATTCCGAGCTTGGACAAATTCCTTGGTCATATCGATTGTAGCTTCACCCATTATAATTTTTGTGGGAAGACATCCGCATGGTAGCGATTTGTAAACTGATACTTTAATAGGAAATTTACTCATAGCCTCTGCGATTTCAGATTCTTTAAGAGAAAACAAGCACGATTTTCCACTATTAAATGTTTTTGCAAAAGGACCTTCACTTTTAGCTGCATTGATTTCCGGTTCATCATCACAAATCTCCAAGGATTCCACCGTAGAGCATTCAATGTTCACACATGTTCGGAAATCCTTGTCGGTGAAACAAGGGCTTTTCGTAAATACTATTTTATCTATTAGCACCTCGAGGAGGAAAAGGCTGTCATCTTTTTTTGACATGGTGTCCGTATAAAGAGGATGGGAAGTATTTTAATATTTTTTTTAAGATTTCATAAGCATTATTTTAATTTTGAGCACCACATAAGGCTTTCAAAAAAAGAAGTGATTTTGGTTCAACTGACAAATGCTTTTGAAGTTATTATTCTTTATTAAATCATCTCCATGTGGCAAGGATATGGAAAAAGGTTTTTTGGTGGCACATAGTTAATTCTCATTAATACTAACAAGTACTATAAAATTATATGTTAAAAGAAGGAAACAGTTTATGGACACAATGTAATTATTATAAATTCAATCAGCTACTGCTGTTACATGGTTGAGAAAGCAGAAGATCTTATTAGACCTTAGACGGCCTTTGAGAATATTTTTGAAGACTTCAAAAATAGACTTAGAGCTAGATTGCTGTTGAGATTTATCTAAAACCGTTCATTAACCGGTGCGCACACTAGACGACGACTGTATCGTAACTAAACTAGCAGAGCAACTTAAAAAATTTAAAAAGAAATTCTAGTCAGTCTGACTTGTGAATCTAATCCATTCTCGTATCGACCTGAAGACACAGACAGGTCTAGACGTTTAGGAGGAGTTCAGTAACATATACACGCACACCTAAGCATTTAATTATACAAGGGTACAAAAAGTAATCATAAATGGTATATTGTCAACGGGGTCAAAAGTAAAAATGGGCGTTCCTCAAGGATCGATCCTGGGCCCTTTTCTGTTTTTAGTTTATAGTACCTGGAGGACCTTTGCTCGGTTTGTTTTTTTTTTTTTAGTAAATTATGTATTTTGGAAATTACATTTAGATACAAATTACTGAGTAATGAAATATGCATAATATTTTTCGATCTTACCGACGTAATAATAAGACAATATGATCTGGTTTGCTTTTTCAACAAAAGAAAGAATTTAAAAAAAAAGGTAAAAAAATAACAAAATAACAAATCGACAAAAAATTAAAAATAAAGAAAGCAATGATCTGGAATCGAAAAAAAAGTAAAAAAATAAATGTGTAAATGATCGTGATACGAACCACGGCCGTCTGTTTTGGGGCCGCCCGATTACCGCGATGAGCTATTATAACACTTTTTTTGCGGCGAAATTGAAAGTCGAATGATATTT